ATACTCAGAATCGCACACATCATTTTAAATGCCAATAAACCATACACTACGTACTTCGTACTACGTTCCTGGTATAAACCTGTTTATAGGTAGTAGCAGTGTTGTCAATCTTTAATGTCTGAGCTATTTTTGACGGTTTCAGCATTTTTGGACATTGTCCAATGTCCGAAATTCATTTTATTACCGGGAAACCTAACAAAAAATTAACCGATGATTGTTTCGCCAATATTTACTAATCGCCAATTATTATAAATCGAACAGCTTTAGCACAATATATCTTTAAATCAGTCTATATCGATATATATTTATTTATCCTTACTGCATTTATATTTATTATGATCTATAAATTTTATCTATTTATTTATTTGTTGCGTCACAAAAGTATTTAAAACGTCGTTACAAACATTTTGCCATGCCAACCAAACTACATATCCTAATCATTATCCCAACCATTACCCTAACTGCTAACATTATTTTAGCTTCAACCTGCCTTTAACCCTAATCCCAACCTAAAAGCCACTGTATTACAAAGAAAGCCACCAAATAGAAACGTGTCATAACTCAATGCCACCTACGTCGAAGAAATTCACCGTCAGCCATGCTATTCATGAAATTGAAACTTGCTATCAACCAAAGAAATATACAAACCATAAACAAGACATAAATACTAGCACAAGCACTATAGTAGACAATGGCGATACCAATCGACCACCCATGAAATGGCAGCGCCAAAGATAACACCTGTAAAATAAAACGACAACACCAAAAATAACTACCTATGAAACGACGACACTAAAGACCTGCTTTATGAAACAGCGGCACTAAAAATACCACTCCATGAAACAACGACAAAGACAACCCACCAACATGAATAAAACGACGAAACCAGAATACTAACGCAACCAAAACGATGGCACTGACAAACGGCGACTCCATCGACGACTCTAACAACAACACCAGCGAAAAAAGGGCACCAAGAAACGAAGACGTCAAGACTCCAGAGAATTCGACACTATAAAAAAAAAGACCATATTAAAATGCTAAAAAAAAAAACTAAAAATTGATTAACAAAAAATAAAAAATAAGTTACTTATCTTGATCCGTATAGCCAGAAATTTCACTGGTAATTATTGTGTCGGATTAGATTAAAATGAAATATGTATAAAAAAAATAAGGTTAGAGTGTTAAATAAAAACCCATATATCATTTTAATCCGATTTCATTATGATCTAATGATAATAAGTATAATTAGTTATTGAAAAAGCAAAAAACTTTATAATCATCTGGATGACCCGTTAATCTGGGTCATGACCCGGATAAGTATCTGACCCACCCGGGTCACTATTTTGCGACCCGGGTCAAAGCTCTACAGTTAACTACAGTTTTACGATAAACTACAGTTTATTTATATTAACTACTAGTTTACGGATTGCACCTCTATCTTTAAGCATCGAATTTAAGATTCTTCTACTATCAGTTGTAAGTAGAGATGTGACCCGTTATCTGTTTTCCTATTTAAATATTACGGATATCCGAATATCCGGATTTTTTTATAATAAAATTGAATTAACGGATATCTGGATCGCACCTCTAGTTGTAAGTTCATTGCATTGATCAATTTCTTCTCGTAAATCTTCCAATGTTTTAAATTTGTCATTTATTATATTTTGGTCATATTTAATTTTAATTAATTTTTTTTATTTTTAACAATGTAAAATATACTTAATTTTGTTTGAAGTAATTTTGCCTAATTTATACCATAATTTTGCATTAATTTATATTTTAATTTACTGTATATTAATTACCAAAAAAAAAAAAATTATGCTTAATTTAATTTTGCCCAGAATTATACTTAATTTTTTGCCTAATTTATATTTTAATTTTGCTTGGAATTGTATATTTAATTTAGCCTAAAATTAATTTTAATTTTGCCTAAATTATAAAATTATACTTAATTTTGCTCACCTAGAATTATTAATTTTGCTCGGAATTATTAAGAATTATTAAGAAATAAACAATGGAAATCATTTAAATTTAACCCTGAATGTTTGTGGTTTTCACAAGAGCAGTTTCTAATAACTTTAATTTCTCATAGTCAAATTGATCATTAAAAACATCCAAGGAGGGTAGGCTAAAGTTCTCTAAAACTTGTATATACTTCATCAAAATCAAATTTATACCTTTTATATCTATTGGATATTATTTGTGTGTTTAGTAAAATAGCATAAGATATTCTAGACCCTCTTTCTTTTTACTTGTTAATCAAATTTTTATAAAAAATTTTGTTCTGATGAAATAAACATTTTAGACTGTATTAAAATATTAAAATACTTTTGCAAAAAAAACATCTTTCTTTTTAAGCATAAAGTAAAAAAATATATATAATATTATCATTAACTAAATATTGGTACTTTTTCAGTATCATTATCATTATTTGTCCTGTCAGCAATATCACAGGAGCTAATACATAATAAAATTGCTGCAACAGTTAAGAAGGAAGCGCTTATAATAGCCAAATAAATGCCAGGACCAGTGTTTTGACTTCCAATACCAGGAATAATAGAAATAAGATCAAATACCCAAATAAAAAGTAAGAGATCAAAAAAACAAGCAATGATATTAAATAGAGAAGAAGTTAATATGAGTAAAGCAGCAATAATTGTAAAGTGAAAATATAATAAAGGTAAAGAGATTACATTAAATATTAAACCTATTAAATAAGGAATAGTGAAAAAACCCAAAACATTAGCAGGACTTCTTGGTTTAAAATTATCAAAAGCACTTAATAACTGAGATAATAAACCCGGGGCTACTGCAGCAATATCCCAGCAGAATTTGCAGCAGTATTTGCAGCATTGGTGACAGAACTACTAATGGGCGAAACAGCTGGATCTAAACTAGATGAAACATTAGGAATTCAAGGAGTTGGGATTGAAGGAATTGGAATATCGAGACGGTTTTGATTTGAGAATTTACCAGTGATTTCTGAAGGAGAGAGCACTAACAATTAAAAATAATTTAATAAAAAAAAACAATTAGAGCTCTTACCCGGGTCAGAAAATAGTGACCTGACGGGTCAAGGTATTGACTCGGGTCATGACCCGGGTCAACGGGTCATACAAAAAATTATTAAATTTTTTAAAGTTGGTGAAATCTTAACGTAAGGCTGATGTAACGACGCAAATAAATCGAATCTCTATATAAAAATCTTTCAAATTCTGTTGATTATTAATATGTAGACATGTGTTAGATTGAAAAATAGCATAAGGTTTTTAAAGCCATATCAAACTTAAACGTTAATACTTAATACAGATCATTATCAAACTTAATAAACTTTATACAAGACGATAATTACATAAAGCAGTCAAAAGATTGTGAAGCACTTGTGGGTCTAAATAAATCATTAAAATTAAACCGCAGATATATTTAAAATTTTAAGGAAGCATATAAAAAGAAAAAAATAATAATAATGAAATACATACAATTTAAATATACCATTAGAATTCGAACCAACTAGCACGTTTGAATTAAGAATGAGAAGAAGAACTTACTGTATGATGAGCGGGTATAAGGAATCACCTGAAGATTAAAATAAGCAATCAGAACGAACATTGTGAACGCAAACATTATTAGAGAAAAATTGTTAAATACTTATCATTAAATAAAGAAATAAATCGTATTAACACTTCTAGTTTTACCAGAACACTGATATCCACATAAAAATTTGCTCAATTCGGTGAGATACTGAAATAAAAAAAAAAAAAGCATTTTATTTAATACGTTCTTACCATTACCAATATTGCGTAATTTAGTATTTTGGTTTAGTAATAATGATTACTAATCTCAGCAGACATTGAATATCGTGTTGTGCGATGTGTTAATTAATTTTTGGAAATTTTAGTTTTGGAATACATATTTTGAATCTGATCCATTTTACCCGGGTTAGATCAATTTTTGACCCGTGACCCAGGTAATAGCTCTAAAAACGATAAGAAAATATTCAAAATTAATTTATTATATAACTTACATTTATCAAAATTATAAACTAGTGAAGGTATAGTGCAAGAATTATCTACACAATAACCGTATAAAGTGAAAGCAATATCATTTTTTTTTGTAATAAGTTTTATCGGTTCGTTAAAAGTAAATTTTGACAAATAAATAGTTTTAGAACTACCAATCAAAAGAATAAGAAGAAATAAGATAGACAAAAGAATTAATATGACAGAAGAAAATATTAAAGGGTATTCTTTTGATAGATAGACTACATGAGAACGAAAGAATGTTTGAACTGGAGAGCCAACATAAGTATGAAAAGATGAATGATTCTCTGGTTTTGTAATATCACTATTGAAATCGATTTCTTCAGACATCTTTACACTGTGTATATTTTAATCTAGTTCCTTTTAACTTTGTAAAATCTTTGAGTTGACTTGAACGAGAATGCGCTGCATTTCTTTAACTTAGTAAAATCTTTGGTTGACTTGAACGAGAACGCACTATATGCCAACACCATTCCTTGACTGGATAAAATCCTTATATTTATATATATTTTAAAATAAATAACTTTAATTGAGTTGTTGTTTAGCAAAACAATTGTTGGGCAACAACCCAATTGTTTGTTCGTTAATTTGGGAATAATACTTATAAAGGTGAATTAATTAAATTTTCAAGTATTTTCACAAATCATTATTTGATTTAATTTTTAATAACTGATTTAAATTGGCAATTGATTCTTCATCATACAATATATTTCTCCACGAATCCTTAATATGTATGCATCATTTGGTTTGATTTCTAACGATTCATTAAAACTTTCAAGTATTTTTTCACAAATTATTAATGTTTTTGCTTCATTTGGTTCCATTTCAATGATTTAAGGTGGTTTGTTTCATACGTTGAGCCAGAGTAATTGATCATAATTCAGACTTTGTTTATATAAGTTTATTTTTTATGTTAATTTTTCAAGCCGTGATGGGACTTAAAAATTAAAAAATCAAATGTTATACCCTGTGATTTTTGAAAAAAAATATATTCATAAATTATAAATGAGAATCACTATAGTCTTAATCAAAAGTATTATTTTTGAATAATTTAATTAAGTTAGTAATAGGCCAAATTTAAATTTCACCTCTATGCTTAACATTATTTTTTGCCTGAATTTATATTAATTTTGTTTAAATCTGGAATTACTCTACATGTAAGTAATATAAAACTTTTAATTTCATTAGTCTATTAAACTAAATAGATATTTTAATACTTTATTTGTTGAAAATTCTCTCTCAATTTATAATAATTTCTATCAACATACATGAAAAGTTTAGATCCAATTTCTTTACTATAGATGATTAAAATGAAATGATAAAGTCATTTAAAATGTCAAATAATTTAAGCACGAACAAGACCATTAATACAATGGACTTTACCAAAATATTCACATCCAAATGTTCTCCTAAAGTACAAAAATTCTTCATCTTCTATATCTTTTTGTAAAGCACAAATATCTTCGTATATTTTTTTGTATTGGCGTAAAAAATCATCTTTTATAAGGCTAGGCTCTTTATTTTCGATTTCGAGTTGATGTTCCAAACTTTTTACTTGTTTTGGATACATTCAAAATTGTCTTCTATATAACAAGTTTCTTTCTTTAGGTATTGAAGTTTCAATTCTTTTATTTGTTCTTGAATACATTCAAAATCATATTTTATAAGACTAGTTTTTTTATTTAGAAATTCTAGTTGATATTTCAAATATTATATCCTCCATAAATATTCAGAATTTTAAAAGATAAATACATTAATTAATGCATTATCATTAGTACTTTAAATGCTTCTGTAAAATTTTAGATATTAGCAAGTTATTTATCCTCACGACGAATTTAAAGTACACTTTTAAACCTATTCTATATTATTTTTAAGTTCAAATAATTAATACTGAGAAAGGAGTTAGATTTCAAGATTTATCACTTTCGTATAGTAAATTCCTATTAAAAAAATGATATTTGTTTGTGTTAATCAAATTCAAAAACTGGGACGTACTGTATAGTGCTGCCTACAATACTCCTTTGATAACATATCCCTATGACAAGTACCGGAGTTAGTAATGTGCCATTTATATGATATCTGGATTTTTTTAGCGTACAGTACGTACAGTACGTACAGTACGTATGGTACGTATAGTTGTATAGCTTGTGTGCAATACATATGGTACATATATAATATATAACTATCTATATACAAAATTGCAAGGAATAATTTTACTTAGAAAACAAAAGGCAGTTTCATAAGAAAAAATTTAAGATACAGTAGATTTCATCAAAAGCCATCACCTTTTAATTTTTAAATTGATATAACTTTTTGAAAACAAAAAATATTAAAAAAATTTTGAACATTTAATAGTTTTTTGTTTAAACTACTAGATTACTAAAAAGTTTTTTAAATATTTTTTGTTTTTATAAAGTAATAACATTTTATATTTTATATATAATTCAAAATTTTGGCACTTATATATGAGTGCGTGAGAATAAAAACCTGGAACTGATTATAATGATTTACTATGATCAGTTACAGGTTTTCATTCTTACGCACTCATATAAAAAAATATAACAAAATTTAAGTTTATTAACAAATTTTTAAATTTTATTAATAATATTTAAAATTGTATTAAGTTTTTCTGCATTTTTATTGGCCGAATATTTACCCAGCAGCTAAAAAATTGGCGCCTATATATAAAATATGTTGACTTTAGGTGAAACATTCACCAATCAGATAATACTATATTGATATTATTAAGTGATAATAAATAGTATTATCGTTATATAATTGGTGGAAATGATTTACGTCACCAGTACTTTGGGGGCTGCTAGGGTGTTCGGTCATAATTAAGGGTATTTTTCAAACGCCTAAATTAATTGATTGGAAATAAAATTTTAAATAGATGGAGGTTAAAAAAAACCTGATCAAGTGAATTGCCGCTTCACTGAAAAAAGTCTGGAGGCACAAACCATCTTTTTTTCATCGAGTTAACGCTGATCGGCTAAACTACTTATCGTTATTGATAGAGTAAAAAAAAAGGTTGTTCAAGCACTTCGCTTTGTATCATGGATCTTTAGCGAAATTATAATCGTCAAAAAATATTACGTTACCTTTTATATTAGAAACTCTTATCGCTAATAAAAGAATCCAAAGAAAACACAAAGGCATGCCATGCCAATATTTATTATCTTCTAACTTTTATATCAAATGCAGCAGTTTTATTTTAATTTTTATTTTAATTTTTTTTACTAAAAAATTTTTTGTATCCAAAAGCTTCATTATTATTTGCGTTGGTTTTGTTCAAAGCTAAATATTGATGCTATAACAATATATAAATATTTGTAAAGTCCATAAAAGAGAAGTTAAGGCACTTGGTGTTATATTCATTTGTTGATGTGTTGCTGAAGAAATTATATTTGTTAAAAACATGATATAAATAAAAATTTTTATTCCCCCAGAGCAAGGATTTTCTTTTGCCCCTCCTTTCGATGGTAAAAATGACAATAAGCAACTTGTAAGCTAATAATTTTAATACAAATGTATTGTTACACAAATAAATATCACTTATCAAATAGGAATTGACTATCACTATATGAAAGTGAAATCTAAATCCTCTCTGCAGTATTTATTCTTCGAACTTAAGAATAATAGGAACGTGAAACAGATTATATAGTAATACTATATAGAAAAAAGTTAAGATCAAAACAGATAGTCAGATTGTGATAAAAAGTATGCTTTTTAATAGTGTTCTGAGATGAGTCGGCTTGATTTTGGCTCGAAAGGCTCGCGAGCCAGTAGTACAGGGTTTCATGTGATTTTCATGTGAAAAATTCTGCTGTATTTAGCATTAGAGCATCCAGGATTCTGATACAAATAGAATAATGCTTATTATATACAAAATTTTGTTCCCATCATTTTTAATTTTCGCT